GGTAACAGGGGCATCAGGGTGAAAAACTCTGCCCATTTGTTTTCCCGCCATCGCCGGGGATTGAATCCGGATCCTAGGATTACGAGTCCCAAGCGCCGTCCACTCAGCCACAGGCCCTCGTGTGTGTGTGTGTGTGTGTGTGTGTGTGTGTGTGTGTGTGTGTGTGTGTGTGTGTAATTACCTAAGTGTAGTTACAGGATGAGAGCTACGCTCGTGGTGTCCCGTCTTCCCAGCACTCTGTCATATAACGCTTTGAAACTACTGACGGTCTTGGCCTCCACCACCTTCTCACTTAACTTGTTCCAACCGTCTACCACTATTTGCGAAGGTGAATTTTCTTATATTTCTTCGGCATCTGTGTTTAGCTAGTTTAAATCTATGACCTCTTGTTCTTGAAATTCCAGGTCTCAGGAAGTCTTCCCTGTCGATTTTATCAATTCCTGTAACTATTTTGTATGTAGTGATCATATCACCTCTTTTTCTTCTGTCTTCTAGTTTTGGCATATTTAATGCTTCTAACCTCTCCTCGTAGCTCTTGCCCTTCAGTTCTGGGAGCCACTTAGTAGCATGTCTTTGCACCTTTTCCAGTTTGTTGATGTGCTTCTTAAGATATGGGCACCACACAACAGCTGCATATTCTAGCTTTGGCCTAACAAAAGTCATGAACAATTTCTTTAGTATATCGCCATCCATGTATTTAAATGCAATTCTGAAGTTAGAAAGCATAGCATAGGCTCCTTGCACAATATTCTTTATGTGGTCCTCAGGTGATAGTTTTCTATCTAGAACCACTCCTAGATCTCTTTCTTTATCAGAATTCTTTAAAGATTTCTCACATAATATATAGGTTGTGTGGGGTCTATGTTCTCCTATTCCACATTCCATAACATGACATTTATTAACATTAAATTCCATTTGCCAAGTGGTGCTCCATATACTTATTTTGTCCAGGTCTTCTTGAAGGGCATGACAGTCATCTAAATTTCTTATCCTTCCTATTATCTTGGCATCATCAGCAAACATGTTCATATAATTCTGTATACCAACTGGTAGATCATTTATGTACACAATAAACATCACTGGTGCAAGAACTGAACCCTGTGGTACTCCACTTGTGACATTTCTCCATTCTGATACATTGCCTCTGATTACTGCCCTCATTTTTCTATCAGTCAGAAAATTTTTCATCCATGATAGAAGCTTACCTGTCACCCCTCCAATATTTTCCAGTTTCCAGAACAACCTCTTATGTGGAACTCTGTCGAAAGCCTTTTTTAGGTCCAGATAGATGCAGTCAACCCAACCATCTCTTTCCTGTAATATCTCTGTGGCTCGATCATAGAAACCGAGTAAATTCGATACACAGGATCTTCCAGATCGAAAACCATACTGTCTGTCTGATATTATATCATTTCTCTCTAGGTGTTCTACCCATTTAGTTTTGATTAGTTTTTCCAATACTTTCACTATTACACTTGTCAATGATACAGGTCTATAATTGAGGGGGTCTTCCCTGCTGCCACTTTTGTAGATTGGAACTATGTTAGCCTGTTTCCACCCGTCTGCTACGAGTGTGTGTGTGTGTGTGTGTGTGTGTGTGTGTGTGTGTGTGTGTGTGTGTGTGTGTGTGTGTGTGTGTACTCACCTAGTTACTCACCTAGTTGTGTTTGCGGGGGTTGAGCTCTGGCTCTTTGGTCCCGCCTCTCAACCGTCAATCAACAGGTGTACAGATTCCTGAGCCTATTGGGCTCTATCATATCTACACTTGAAACTGTGTATGGAGTCAGCCTCCACCACCTCCTGTGTGTTATAATACATTAATGTATATCGCAAAGGTCGCCCCAAACATGATCCCAAACACTTGGTAAAACTTCGATGCATATTAAAGTTGACGTGATACGCGGCCCTCACCCCCTGCGCCCACACTAACAACGCCGAGGAAGCAGCATCATACACAATACACCGTCATACACGTAGAGCACAAACTTGGGCACAGTGGAGCGGTGTACAGCACGTAGGTAATATTGACTCGCTCATCCCGTCTCCAACTGATGCTATAAACGATATACTAACAAGTTTAAAAGATAATTATGAACACCCCATTCCACCCCCCACCCCCCAAACAAGCACCCCAGACCACTCTTCATACAAGTTAAGGCTTTGGGTAAGATACCAAATGAAAGACTAGCAAGGAAATTATAGGCACATGGTAGAATACTAGAATAGATAAACAATAGTTAAACAAGAAGCAAATGATAGTCCTAAGCGGAAATTAATGACTGGAGAAATAAATCGGAAATAAATAAATGACTGGAGTGATAAGCGAGGTACCGCAAAATTCCATCTTGGGGCCAACCCTTTATGTTATCTAGATCAATGACAAACGAGAATATTAAAAACTACATCAAATTCGCAGATGACATGAAGATTTATGACAAAGTTGGTAACGGAAATGATATTAAGGTCTTACAGAGTCATCTACATAAACTTCACAAGTAGTCTGAAGATCGGCAAAGCTTTTTAATATGCAAAAAATGCAAGACCTTGCATGTGGGGCATAACAATCCGCGCCACAACTACCAAATTAACATTATCATCTTGCAGAAGACACAGAAAAGAACCCAAGAGTCAGCGTGGATCATTCGCTCAAAGTTGCACAAGTGGGAAGGAACTATCAGGGGAAAGCGCCAAGTCATTACGACTATATAGTACTGGGAAGGGGGGTCAGGATAAGGATTTGGGATGGGACGGGGAGGGAAGGGAATGGTGCCTAATCACTTGGACGGTCGGGGATTGAACGCCGACCTGCATGACGCGAGACCGTCGCTCTACCGTCCACCCCAAGTGGTTGAGCTGTGAGAGATGCAGTATTAAAAAAAAAATAACCAACCAACCTCTAGGAATAGTCGAGTGTAGATTTGTCTTCCAGGAAAAAATGGTAATTAGTTATTCAAGTGTACAAATCTCTGGTGCGCTCCCACTTTGATTATTGCATGCTGGCATGGACACCGTCTTCAGAAAGACACAGCTACTTTGGAGAAAGTTCGACACCGAACAAGTAAAATCATTCCAAACCTAAGTCGCCCCTCATACCAGGAACGGACGAGGGCCACAGGGGCGAACAGCTCTACAAACCACACATGACAACGATGATCCCATCGAAAGTTGTAAAATACCGAACAGTTTGGAGGATTAAATGAAAATTTTATTTTCAATCCAGACTTCTTCAAAATAAGAAATGTAACACAAACAAGGAGCAACGGTTTCAAGCTCAACAAGACACAATGTAGGACAGAACACAGACTTTTCACCCACGGGGTGAAAACCCACGGTTATAAGCCCACGGAACCGCCTACCCGCTGAAGCCGTAAATGCCAAAACACTGCCGAATTTTAAAATCCAGCTTGAAAAAATCAAGACAAATGGGGGAACCTTTGACAAGCCGCCGGCCTCCTGTTCTCGTCGAGGCCACTAGAGATAAGTGGTCCTCAGATAGATTCATATCCCCCCCCCCAAGACCAGTCTCCATAAAGAGACCATAAACCCCTAGATCAGTGTTATTGTTTTTCTTTACCTGCGACCCACACCTGCACCTTGTGTCGCCACCCAGTATGTCTGTCTGTGTCTATTGTGTAGTAAGTTATACTACGAATTAAGTTCCTTTATTTACTACCGACACGTAATAATAGTTATCGATGGAGCCTACTCAAATTGTACATTTCTGTTTTTAGGAAGAATATAGAAAACTAATAAGCATTTTTGCGTGAAATTTTAGTAAAAATGAAACAATGTTACAAAAGTTTTCCTTTAATGAGAATGATGTGCGTGTTTGTATGTAGCTTAAGACAATTTGGAACACGGGAAGACAATGCTACACGCACATCTGTTACAGTGTTCAACTGTTTTCTATCTTTCCTTTTTAACTGAAGGTGTGTGGGAAAATCCTAGTTCACGCAAATTAGTGGTAAAAGGTTTTTCAAGACGGAATCTCCACATGAAGGTGGAAATTCTCTTATAACCTCAGTTCAAAATTATGACATTTAATTGCTCAAAATCATTCTTCAGTGTAAATGAACTATCAAGATGCAGTAATTCGGGACTAATCGCCTGACAACATCGTACCATCACTCTCGTTAATTGCCATGATGAGTAATAACTGCGGATGAAATTGTTGCTCTCACTTGCATATTTTTTGTGGATTTTGTTCTATTTGTCGCGAGCCATTTTGGGGCCCCACACGAACACCTCAGACCACTCCCCCCTCCACCCTTTCCCGCCAGGAACTGTGGTGGATGTTTTGGAGTTACAGTTGTGGTAGTTTTGGAGGCGATTTGGATGTTTTAGAGGTGGTGTGGTGTATAGGAATAGTGAAAGTAGTTCGGATGATGTGGTAATCTAATTCTTTAATTCTCTACAGTTGCCACTTCCGTTAAAAATGCAACCGTTTTGAATACCACAAACGCACAAACCTATACAACCCACCTAACTTACGGGCTATAAGCAGAAAGCGTTAAAGAGCTTTACACTTCAGTAATAGGTATTTATTTATTTATATATATACAAAAAGGTACATTGGGATTGTGAGGATACATAGCATAGTAATTACAATTTTGTAAAGCCACTAGTACGCGCAGCGTTTCAGGCAGGTCCTTGATCTAGTTTGACCAGGTCAAACGCAGGTCAAAATGTAGTTCTTAACAGAATCAAGTCCGTTAAAAACTCTTACCTATTTGGATGAAAGGACGGGTCGCTTGTGGTGGTAATTGTTACAAATGTTGACAGTTTGTATTCAATTCTACTAGCCTGTCATTACTGCTTTCTACATACCATTTACAATGTAACTACTGGCTGCGAGACTGCAGGTGGGCCGGTAGCAATGTTTTCCTCCAGTGTGTAGCCACACTGGCTTACCTGACACCCTCCCGTGAGAGACCACACTAAGTAACGTCGATCGTCCCTGCAACTGTATTTCCCTCCAGTGTGCAGCCACACTAACTCACCTGACCCCTGGAGCAGTGCGAGAATCCCTGGGACGAGCGGCGCAGTGTTCCCCCGCTGACAGCTCCTCGGTAACTGAGGCGCCACCCTACGCTTACCTCACCATATACACAGTACACAGGACACAAGTGTATGTGTATATATACTGATGTCTGGTATTTATTTTTCCCTTATGTACTTCAGAAAATAAAGAAATCTATTAAACACAGCTCTGTATTTATATTTTTATTTGTTTATGTTTCAGAAGAATCAATGGTATTTAGAGTAACAGAGCTGAGTAATCTTTTAAGAAACTATTTTGCATGATTACCATTTCTGCCAGTGACACACATTATGTGGGTGGTTCTCGTAGTACTGATCTACGAGCTCTATGGTAGCCCCACACACTCCAGTACTAATCTACGGGCTCTATGGTGGCCCCACACACTCCAGTACTAATCTACGGGCTCTATGGTGGCCCCACACACTCCAGTACTGATCTACGAGCTCTATGGTGGCCCCACACACTCCAGTACTGATCTACGAGCTCTATGGTGGCCCCACACACTCCAGTACTGATCTACGGGCTCTATGGTGGCCCCACACACTCCAGTACTGATCTACGAGCTCTATGGTGGCCCCACACACTCCAGTACTGATCTACGGGCTCTATGGTGGCCCCACACACTCCAGTACTGATCTACGAGCTCTATGGTGGCCCCACACACTCCAGTACTGATCTACGAGCTCTATGGTGGCCCCACACACTCCAGTACTGATCTACGGGCTCTATGGTGGCCCCACACACTCCAGTACTGATCTACGAGCTCTATGGTGGCCCCACACACTCCAGTACTGATCTACGGGCTCTATGGTGGCCCCACACACTCCAGTACTGATCTACGAGCTCTATGGTGGCCCCACACACTCCAGTACTGATCTACGAGCTCTATGGTGGCCCCACACACTCCAGTACTGATCTACGGGCTCTATGGTGGCCCCACACACTCCAGTACTGATCTACGAGCTCTATGGTGGCCCCACACACTCCAGTACTGATCTACGAGCTCTATGGTGGCCCCACACACTCCAGTACTGATCTACGGGCTCTATGGTGGCCCCACACACTCCAGTACTGATCTACGAGCTCTATGGTGGCCCCACACACTCCAGTACTGATCTACGGGCTCTATGGTGGCCCCACACACTCCAGTACTGATCTACGAGCTCTATGGTGGCCTCACACACTCCAGTACTGATCTACGAGCTCTATGGTGGCCCCACACACTCCAGTACTGATCTACGGGCTCTATGGTGGCCCCACACACTCCAGTACTGATCTACGAGCTCTATGGTGGCCCCACACACTCCAGTACTGATCTACGAGCTCTATGGTGGCCCCACACACTCCAGTACTGATCTACGGGCTCTATGCTGGCCTTACACATTCTAGTACTGATCTACGGGCTCTATGGTGGCCCTACACTCTAGTACTGATCTACGGGCTCTGTGGCTGTACCTACACTCTATAGTACTGATCTACGGGCTCTATGCTGGCCAAACACACTAGTACTGATCTACGGGCTCTATGCTGGCCCCACATTCTAGTACTGATCTACGGGCTCTATAGTGGCCTCACACTCTAGTACTGACTTGCGGGCTCTATGGTGGCCCCACACTCTAGTACTGATCTACGGGCTCTATGCTGGCCCCACACACTAGTACTGATCTACGGACTCTATGGTGGCCCCACACACTCTAGTGCTGATCTACGGGCTCTATGGTGGCCCCACACTCTAGTACTGACTTACGGGCTCTATGGTGGCCCCACACTCTAGTACTGACTAACGGGCTCTATGGTGGCCCCACACTCTAGTACTGATCTACGGGCTCTATGCTGGTCCCACACTCTAGTACTGATCTACGGGCTCTATGCTGGTCCTACACAGTCTAGTACTGATCTACGGGCTCTATGCTGGTCCTACACAGTCTAGTACTGATCTACGGGCTCTATGCTGGTCCTACACAGTCTAGTACTGATCTACGGGCTCTATAGTGGCCCCACACTCTAGTACTGATCTACGGGCTCTGTGGTGGCCCCACACACTAGTACTGATCTACGGGCTCTATGGAGGCCCTACACATTCTACTACTGATCTACGGGCTCTATGGAGGCCCCACACACTAGTACTGATCTACGGGCTCTATGCTGGCCCCACATTCTAGTACTGATCTACGGGCTCTATGGTGGCCCAACACTCTAGTACTGATCTACGGGCTCTATGCTGGTCCCACACACTCTAGTACTGATCTACTGGCTCTATGGTGGCCCCACACACTCTAGTGCTGATGTACGGGCTCTATGGTGGCCCCACACGCTAGCACTGATCTATGGGCTCTATGCTGGCCCCACACTCTAGTACTGATCTACGGGCTCTATGGTGGGCACACACTCTAATACTGATCTACGGGCTCTATGCTGTTCCTAAACATTCTAGTATTGATCTACGGGCTCTATGGTGGCCCCACACACTCTAGTACTGATCTATGAGCTCTATGCTGGCCCTGCACTCTAGTACTGATCTACGGGCTCTATGCTGGTCCTACACATTGTAGTACTGATCTACGGGCTCTATGGTGCCACCACACACTAGTACTGATCTACGGGCTCTATGATGGCCAAACACTCTAGTACTGATTTACGGGCTCTATGCTAGCCCCACATTCTAGTACTGATTTACGGGCTCTATGCTGGCCCCACATTCTAGTACTGATCTACGGGCTCTATGGTGTCTAAACACTCTAGTACTGATCTGCGGGCTCTATGGTGGCCCCACACACTCTAGTGCTGATCTACGGGCTCTATGGTGGCCCCACACTCTAGTACTGACTTACGAGCTCTATGGTGGCCCCAGACTCTAGTACTGATCTACGGATTCTATGGTGTCCAAACACTCTAGTACTGATCTACGGGCTCTATGGTGGCCCCACACACTCTAGTGCTGATCTACGGGCTCTATGGTGGCCCCACACTCTAGTACTGACTTACGGGCTCTATGGTGGCCCCACACTCTAGTACTGATCTACGGGCTCTATGCTGGTCCCACACTCTAGTACTGATCTACGGGCTCTATGCTGGTCCTACACACTCTAGTACTGATCTACGGGCTCTATGCTGGCCCCACACACTAGTACTGATCTACGGGCTCTATGCTGGTCCTACACACTCTAGTACTGATCTACGGGCTCTATAGTGGCCTCACACTCTAGTACTGACTTGCGGGCTCTATGGTGGCCCCACACTCTAGTACTGATCTACGGGCTCTATGCTGGCCCCACACACTAGTACTGATCTACGGACTCTATGGTGGCCCCACACACTCTAGTGCTGATCTACGGGCTCTATGGTGGCCCCACACTCTAGTACTGACTTACGGGCTCTATGGTGGCCCCACACTCTAGTACTGACTTACGGGCTCTATGGTGGCCCCACACTCTAGTACTGATCTACGGGCTCTATGCTGGTCCCACACTCTAGTACTGATCTACGGGCTCTATGCTGGTCCTACACAGTCTAGTACTGATCTACGGGCTCTATGCTGGTCCTACACAGTCTAGTACTGATCTACGGGCTCTATGCTGGTCCTACACAGTCTAGTACTGATCTACGGGCTCTATAGTGGCCCCACACTCTAGTACTGATCTACGGGCTCTATGGTGGCCCCACACACTAGTACTGATCTACGGGCTCTATGGAGGCCCTACACATTCTACTACTGATCTACGGGCTCTATGGAGGCCCCACACACTAGTACTGATCTACGGGCTCTATGCTGGCCCCACATTCTAGTACTGATCTACGGGCTCTATGGTGGCCCAACACTCTAGTACTGATCTACTGGCTCTATGGTGGCCCCACACACTCTAGTGCTGATGTACGGGCTCTATGGTGGCCCCACACGCTAGCACTGATCTATGGGCTCTATGCTGGCCCCACACTCTAGTACTGATCTACGGGCTCTATGGTGGGCACACACTCTAATACTGATCTACGGGCTCTATGCTGTTCCTAAACATTCTAGTATTGATCTACGGGCTCTATGGTGGCCCCACACACTCTAGTACTGATCTATGAGCTCTATGCTGGCCCTGCACTCTAGTACTGATCTACGGGCTCTATGCTGGTCCTACACATTGTAGTACTGATCTACGGGCTCTATGGTGCCACCACACACTAGTACTGATCTACGGGCTCTATGATGGCCAAACACTCTAGTACTGATTTACGGGCTCTATGCTAGCCCCACATTCTAGTACTGATTTACGGGCTCTATGCTGGCCCCACATTCTAGTACTGATCTACGGGCTCTATGGTGTCCAAACACTCTAGTACTGATCTACGGGCTCTATGGTGGCCCCACACACTCTAGTGCTGATCTACGGGCTCTATGGTGGCCCCACACTCTAGTACTGACTTACGAGCTCTATGGTGGCCCCAGACTCTAGTACTGATCTACGGATTCTATGGTGGCCCCACACACTCTAGTGCTGATCTACGGGCTCTATGGTGGCCCCACACTCTAGTACTGACTTACGGGCTCTATGGTGGCCCCACACTCTAGTACTGATCTACGGGCTCTATGCTGGTCCCACACTCTAGTACTGATCTACGGGCTCTATGCTGGTCCTACACACTCTAGTACTGATCTACGGGCTCTATGCTGGCCCCACACACTAGTACTGATCTACGGGCTCTATGCTGGTCCTACACACTCTAGTACTGATCTACGGGCTCTATAGTGGCCTCACACTCTAGTACTGACTTGCGGGCTCTATGGTGGCCCCACACTCTAGTACTGATCTACGGGCTCTATGCTGGCCCCACACACTAGTACTGATCTACGGACTCTATGGTGGCCCCACACACTCTAGTGCTGATCTACGGGCTCTATGGTGGCCCCACACTCTAGTACTGACTTACGGGCTCTATGGTGGCCCCACACTCTAGTACTGACTTACGGGCTCTATGGTGGCCCCACACTCTAGTACTGATCTACGGGCTCTATGCTGGTCCCACACTCTAGTACTGATCTACGGGCTCTATGCTGGTCCTACACAGTCTAGTACTGATCT